GGGGGGGGTGTGTGTTGAAAAAAAGCCCAGCAAAAACAAACCCGCTGCCATGAGGTCTGAGAGCTAAACAACACAAAAAAAAAAAAAGTCCCTGCAGCTTGGGAGCTCGTTGGAAGGAGAGATGGAGCGGGAGAGCTGCGCCCACTGCTGGTGCCGCTGCCGCTAGCACAGCACCTGTGCACGCAGGGGATTATGCGTGTGCATGCGTGTGCACCCACCTGCAAGCAGATCAGGGACAAGGGTGCATGCACACAAGGGTGCATCTCCTGGGGCCCTGCCCTCCCCCCGCCCCCATGACGGTGGCCTTGAGCCAGGTGATGGCTCCCCTCCGCCTGCCAGCACGAGCCTTTATGGGACACTGCTGCCAACACTAGTGTCCCAGGTCCTGCTCCCAGCAGGAGCGCAGATGTGTAGAGCTGGCATCTCAAATCTGGTGGCCCCTTCTCTGCTCCCCCAGAGCCTTTTAGGATGACACCCATATCTGTGTGGCAGCAGTCAGCCAGCAAACGCATCACACCTTCCCTGGCTCCATGATGGGCTTGGCAGGACTGGGCTGGAGAGGTCAGGACGCACTGCGTGTCCCGGGGATGTCAGCGCAGGGAAGAGCCCGGGGTCAGCATTTGCTCCCTGCCCCCAGGCTCCCCAGGCAGTGTGCCAGAGTGCAGCTCCCCACATTATTCAGGCACCAGGGCACTCACCTTTCATGCGTCCGCCACTGCGAAGCTGACGGCTTCGCTCTGCATTGAACTGTCACAGGGAATTACACAGCCCGGCTGGCTGAAGGCACAGCTGAGGGGTGAGTGCTGCCTTCCCCTTCACCCAGCCCGGCTGGGAGCCACGGCATGGCTCAGTCCTCTTCCCACCCAGCTGCCTTCAAGGCAAGACCTCAGCCGAGATGGGCCGGTTACAGATGGCAAGGCTGGGGCTGATCTGAGTTATGGGCACTCCTGTCCTGCTTTCTGCAGCACTCCGATGGGACAGCATCTCTGACACCCGCACTAGTCACAGCATCCCCCAGATTTCAGGTGCTCTGTAAACTTACATCCTTTGCTGCAGAGTGTTTCCCTGCGTTCCTGCACCACCTCCCAGCCTAGCGCCTTCCAGCTCAAGAGGCCTGAATGTCCAGGGCTACTGTGCTCACCCCTGCCTCGCCTCCAGGCATGGACACCCTCTGCTCCCTACAGCATGGGTACCATAGGGCCCTGCTCATGTGTATACAGGGATGGAGGGCAGGGGGGGCTCTGAGGGCAGCCCAGCTACGGCCCCAGGGGCTCCTGGAGCTGCTCCCAGGCTCTGCCCGGCACATCATGATCCTCAGGCAAAGGTCTGCAGGGACCCTCAGCCAGGGCTCATCCTAAAGCATTCATAAGGGAAAGGGAGCGCAGTCTTCCAAACAGCTCGATCCCTTCTTTGCCGGTCAACAAGAGCTGTTCCTGGTCGGGCTGCCAGTGCCTTCAGGTGTGTTCACACAGCCCAGGTCCTACCGCATCCCTGCGGGGTCCTGGCTCCTCTCCTGCTCATATCCCGCTAGCTCTCACACTGCGTTGGTCTCTCCCAGGAACGGGCTGCACGAGCAGAGCAGCCTGGAGCCTGGCCACACCATGGCAGTCCCCATTTCCCCTTCCCCCTCTCCTCTAGCTGCTCTGGGTTTGAATAATCTAGGATCAGCTCTCTAAAGAAAAACTCCCCTGGTGACGCTGAAGCAGAGCCCAAATACCCACCTGGGGCCCTCTCCGGACACCAGTCAGAGCCAGGCAGTGACACCGGCAAGTGCTTCTAGCGTGGGCCGTGCCATCCTCCCCAGCTCCTGTCCCCTCACTGCCACCCCAATGCTCTCCTTGGATGGGGGCGGCTGCTGGGCTGTCAGAGCCTCTCTTCCAGCAGCGGGACCTCTCTGCTCGGCTCAAACGGCAGCTGGCTCTGGCAGAGGTGGGCGCAGGACTGCTTGCCCTCCCTCCGCGGGCTGCTCCCGTCTCTAGGCAGGGAGCCCAGCGCTGGGGGAGCCCATGGCTTGGGGTACCCAGCACGCCGCCGGCAGGAATTTCCCTCCTGCCAGGAGAGGGGAGACTGAGCTTTTCCCCGTGAGCCGAGGCCGTAGCATGACCAGAAGGTTCTGCTGGAGGTACTGGGGG